AATCGAATACCACCAATCATGGGAACTGGGTGCTACTTTCCAACTACTAAAATAGAAACTAGAGATAAAAGAAACGAGAGAAAAAAAAATCAACATTTTCAGGAAGAAAAAAAAAGAGTGTGAATGGTCAATTAAGGTGACAATAGAATTAAAGTTTCTTTTATTCCAGTGTCAAACCCACTTTCATCCAAGTTCAGACAGAGAAACCCTTGAATTAACTCCCAGTTTGAACAGTTAATAAGACCTATCAAATAAGCAATGATCCATTTTACAGTAGCCCTTGTAACTATAACAGAGCTTAACAATTGCAGAAAAATTCCAATCGGGGAAAAGGAAAGTTTGAAATACAAATATCCTACACTTGCTGCACCAAGCGAACGATATCATAAAGCTCTCCTACAGGGCTTAACTAATGTTACTAATCACAGCAAGCTGAATAAAGAAAGAAAAGTATGAGAACCATCATGTAAAATTCATTAAAATCAAACAAATAAACAATTCAAAAGCACATTTGTTTCAGCAAAGTAGGAAACCAAGCAGAAACATACCCATTGTAAATTGTTGTTGGTCCCAGTTGGTCTGACCATAGATGCCTTTGGATGGAGCTGAAGGAGAAAAAACTCCATACCTCCATAGAAATCACTATGCCTCTCCCAAGGCTGGGAAGCATAACCCCTATATATATAACCTTCATTATCCTTTTTTTTTTTTTTTTTTTTTGTCTCCCGCCTGATATCCGGGGCTTTCGTCCCGACTAATCGGACCGACCCGGGTCGGGCACCTGAAAATGGGGAAATGGTGGGTGAATCTCCCAACGAAGGCGGATGCGTATACAAGGTATCAAACTCAAAACCTTACTTAAGCTGAAACAAGCCACTTACCACTTGATCCTGCCCCTCGTTGCTCTAACCTTCATTATCCTTAACAATCAAGAGTTTACGAGGTCTTCAAAGGTCAATTTCTGGTCTTTCCTTTGTTGGGTAACCAAATCAAAGAGTCTTTCCCCAAGAGCCCCTTTCAGTCCAAAGTATGCCTGGACCCAAATTTGGACCCAAATCAGAGTGAAACGAAAAGGCATCAAGGGACGCAATTGGAATGAAGAAAAGAAGAAGAAAACAAATGGCTCACTGAAAACGAACCTGAAAGACAGAAGGAGATATGTATCGACCGTCGCTCTGTGACTGGGTAGCCACGGACACGAACAGTGCTCTGAGATCTCCTATCTCCTTTTGCGTAAAAGCTCTGCAATAATTAATTCCGCTAGAACTAACTACATAGACTACGGAAAGTGGAGAAAGTAGAAATAGAGAAGAATTGTTCAGAGAGAAACCTGGATGCCGAGGCGAAGCGAGATCCACCGGAGGTGACTGAGTGTTACCCATTGGACACTGCTTTTCTTTTTCCCCGATCTTTCTCTAATAATTTTCCGGTTTCAGTTCTTTCCGTTAGCACTCTTTCAGGTATGGATGCTCAGCTTTGGGCTATTGATTGAAGCAAAATCATTGTTAAGTCCTCAAACTTATCTCATTTTAGCGAAAAGGCCCTTGAAAAGAAAAAAAGATTAGCTCCTGCACTGCATGATTCTTGCAAATTAGCCCATAGACTAACGGACGATAAATTTCTCCCTTTTTATTTTTTGAGAATAGTGTTTTTCTTCAGCCAGGGAGAAAAAAAAAAAGAATGGTGTTTTTTGGGATTTAAAAAAAATTCACTTCTTTCTACCCAAAAAAAAAAAAAACTTCCAATTATGAAAGTGTCAAAAATATTATTCAATAAGGATATTTAGGTACGTTTTTTT